ACCATGGTTGTTGATTTGACGTAGACATTGTTTCTCAGATGGCAGTTTCCGTCATTCGGCACCACTATGCCTGCCAATTTGCTATCAAGAGCAAGATGAGATGTCTGATCTGTCATCACCAGCAGCAATCTTTTAGCTTCTTTTCGCCATCCAATGTGACTCTTAAAAATAAACATGTAATTAGACCTTGTACAATAACATAGATCTGTACTGTGGTCTTTCCTCAAGTAAACGATATGTTTGAGTTGACAAACAGTAAGTCAAGCTTGAATGATGTGCATAAGTACACACATGCTTCATAAATAGCATCTACATTTATTTGTATATCCTCTACTTCACCACAGTCATTTGACCACACCATTTTCTGGCTAGAGATTGCCAGTGTTGCACAGGAGGAAGAATAAGCCAGGTTGTGAAGTATGACAATGATGTAATGTGAGTGGAAAAAAAGACTATTTCTGGTTCTTCCTTGGAGTTTGGCACAAGAGAACAGACATTTTAATAGCTTTATATCCATGTGCACAAGCTATCATTCTTATATTTTCCTATTTATATCCCTCTCTCAACTAAGTTCTTCTGTCCCAAAGTCCTACCAAAATGAATCATTGGTGATTGGTATGAGATAGGAGAAGAACGTGTTCTTGAATACTATGTTTTCACTCCATAATTCAAAGAGAAAATAAAAATTTTAAATTATTTGAGAGTGTTGCACTCAAACACCGGTAATATGAAACTTCTTACCTCACAGACAGCTGCCTGAAGCATTGCATCAAAACCTCCTTCTGGGGTATCTATGTTCCCAGAGATCTTTTGTCTGTGAACTGCTTTTTCAAACTCAGTGATGTTTTCTGTTAATGACAGCACGTGGATGTATCCATGGGGAGGCATACAGTCTAAATTATAGTCACTGCATGGGAAACAGAGAAGTGCAAAGTCTGTTTCTATGCTGCCTTAAAAGTTCCACAATACAACTAGCAGTAAAAGTATGCAGTTAGTATGAGAAAGAAGTAGAAATTTTTGTCAAGGTCATTCTTATAACACAAAAATCTGCAAAATTAAAGAGAAGTTTAATATTGGTGAACTTTTCCTTGTGAATAGGAAATAGAGCTATAATGTTTGGTGTTCCAAAAATTAAGGTCAAACATATTTCACCAATAAAGACAACTAAGGGCTTCCAATATGCTAAAAGGCACTGTGACTTTTTAAGAGGAATAAAAGAATTTTCTATAACTTACTATCACAGTTGACCATAGAACAGCAGAGAAATACATTTTGGGAAATATTTTCGTGAATTTACTGAAATATAATATTGTTTGATGTATAAAAGGAATAGTACATTAATTTTTTAAATTATGGTTGGTATGGAATCATGGGTGAGTAATCAAAATTCATGAACATTATTTTGATAATTCTTGATATCTTAGAAACTGAGAACCATTTCTCATCTTCAAGAAGGTTCCAGCCGGGTATGGTAGTACACCTGTAATACCTCCTGAAGCAGGAGGATCACAAGTTCAAGGCCAGCCTGGGCTACCTAGTGAGACCCTACCTCAGAAAAAAGAAAAAAAGGGATAAAATTCATGAACTGCATGAAGAGATAAACTGGGCCTATTCTGGTATGATAGCAGTTGTTTTAGTAAATTGAAATGTGTAGCACAACATATTTGAGAAATTTAGGCAGTGGAAAACACCTTAAAAATAAAATGTCTTATAGAAGAACTAAACAGATCTATTTTTCTAGAAATTCAACACACTGAAGGTAGTATCATGTGAGAACTTGTATATTTAAGGTTAAGTTCTGTTTTCATGGTGGGACAAGTTCTATTTAGGATCAGAATTCCAAAATAATAAGAAAAATGGTTTTTTCTAAACTATCATGTTCTCATCTTTGGACCCAATCTCTATGAGAAAGCTGAGCTTTCTCTGTGGTCATTTCATAAGCCTAATAATCATACACAATCATGATGCATTAATGGAATGGTACAAAGAGTACCAGCAGAATAAATACTTTGAAATGTGTCAAACCTTGATTTACCAAATTTGGAGCAACCAAAAGGAAGAAATACAGCATTTCAAAAAGGGACTTATATCTACCACAGCTTGATTATTGGAAGTTTATCCAAAGTTACTAATATTAGGTAGGTTTTGTTTTGTGTGATAAAAAGTAAATAAAAACTATTGAAAGAAGTATACAATATAAAATCCATTTTACAGATAAAAGTTTTCAGACTTCCTCCTCAAATATTTTGATTCTTACTTGATAAGAAAAAATTGCAAAATAAGAACAAGCAAGCTGGTGCTGCTGGCTCACACCTGTAATCCTAGCTACTCAGGAGACAGGAATCAAGAGGATATCTGTTTGAAACCAGCCCGGGCAAAAAGTTCAGGAGACCCTATCTTGAAAAAAATCTACCACAAAAGGGCTGGTGGAGTGGCTCAAGCAGAAAGACCGCTGCCTACCAAGCATGAGGCTCTGAGTTCAAACTGCAGTACTGCATAAAACAAACAAAACAAAAAACCAAAATGAGATTTAATAAGAGAAATTCATTGATCAGTGTCACATCAAACAACAGATACCTGCATTGATTATGAATCCTTTCAGGGTGGATGCTAATGTATGGCGAAACAGTTTTATCAACGTATGAGCCAAATCCAAGGCGGAAGTCATGGGAGAAGAATGCCATCTTTCTAGATAAGTCATTTCCAACGGAATTTAATTTTTCTATATTATTGTGCATTGATGCTGATACATCAACGAGATAATAAAGATCCACTGGATATTTCTTCAGAGGATGAATTTTCATCATAAAATTAGCTTCAGCTCCTAGTTCAAAGCAAGAAAAGCATCATGCAGTCTTCATTGTACATATCTCAGGATAAGCTGTCAGTAAGTCAGTCCATTTTAGCATCTACAACCACTATCAAAAGTCCATACATTTTGAAGTTTGGAATATTTGGGAATCTATTGATAAAGCATTTTGAAACCAGTTGCTTAGTCTCTAATTCTACAGTGTATTTCTCAGAATTCTATGGATGAGCCCATAGACCAGCTCAACCTAAATGTAGCATGGTCTCATCACCTGCGCTGCACTGCCCATTGCCTGCCTTAGCTAGACTAGCGCAGAGCCAAGGAAAAAGCAGCATGTAGGAGGCTCTGCTTGGGGAATGCTTCAAAGCAAACCAGAAAGATATCCTCAGAAATATTACCTTTTATTGGGGGCAGGTGCAAATTCATTCTTTTGGGTTAAGGCATATGTACATATGAGATGTGATATCTCTGGTACCAGTAAGTTCTTCAAAATAATGATACTGTCATCATGACTCAGTCCATAAGATTCTTGTCATCAGCTAGTGAGTGAGACAGTGAGCTAATGCATGGTACCCAGCAGTGCCACACTGAAGACTAGAAAATATTAGCCTAACATTTGCTGGTGGATTGACTATGGGTGTTGAAAAGGGATCACAGAGATGAGGCAATGGTGTTGAGCAAAATAAGTGGTTTGGAAGAGTCACACTGAAGAAATGTGGGTAGTTTCCCAAGGCCACTATCTGCAATGTGCTTTATTTAGTTCTTTGTCACATTATGATTTGATACAAGGATGTAGGTTGTTCCCCTCGCAGCCCACAGAGTTGATAGGTCTGATTGTAATGTAAAAATATATTAGAAAATAAACCATTTACAAATAAAACAATTTGATTTATTTTAAACAATAAATCAAGTGATTTTTAAGTCATTATTTATCCATGGAGAATATTGCAAGTGGGAAGTATTTTTTAAAACTAAATTATAATTTATAGGCATAATTGGTAAGCTGACTTCCTTATTAAAGGAATTCTCTAATTGATCAAATCCTACTATAATTAAAAGTATTTTTCTTTAAATTATTTCACAAATTAGGTGTTTTTTCAATTGAATTACCTAACCTAATAAAATAGTAAAGAGTTACAAGCATATAAAAATAATATTGAAATAAAGGAGCAATTTGTTCATTCCAAATTTGCTTTATGTACACGAAACCTGTCTAGGGTAGTGCTCCAAGTTCTGTAGCACAGGAGTTTGGAAGGAGAAATCAGGTATGCAGAGCTCACTCCTTCACTCCTTCCCTCATTCCTTTCCTTTAGGAATAAATGCCTTCAGAGAACATTTATTCCACTCAGCTCTTGAGCCTCTGGTGGAAAGACCTGTCCTTTTGGAAGTGCTCTGCAATTTAGGTAGAGAAATTAAATTTTGCTGAATGTTAGAAAATGGTACACAGGGCCAGATCAGTGAGTAAGATTGTAGAATGTAATTCACATGGAGGGGCTTGAACATTCTTGTGTGGGTCAGCATTTTAAATATGATAAATTGTGTAGTTGTTTTTTAAGCTATTGACTTGGGCATATTGCTAACGGTCTTAAGTGCTTATCACGTGGTATTTTTATCTTGGTGAATCATTGAGTTTACAGTGGCCCTGTCTAAAGATGAGTGGCTATCTGTTTCCACAGAGGCATTGCTAGATATAGCACTTATTCAGCATCTTGTGCAAAATTATGAGTTTGTGAGCTCAGCAAAAAGGCTGTGTCTCTGGAGCATCAGCAAAGGCACAGTTCTTAGAGGCCTGAGCTATTCAGGGCACACCAGCCAAATGGCAGCCACACAGGGACCTCAGCAGACACCACTTGTTGATAGCCTCACCAGTAGTATCTGATCTCACTGGACTCAGCAAGGAAGAGGCTGTGAGGAAGCCTTGTGAAAAAGTCAGGTGTGCAGGGCCTCAATGCTGGTACCTGGGAAAGTTGAAGTCCTCAGTAAGGCAAGTTGTCAATAAAGGGAAAAGAGAATTTTTTCCATACACTGGCCTTTTAGTCATTGCTGGAGAGAACAATGTCTACTTTTACATTGGAAGGGCCCTAACGTCCTATGAAGTTCTGACTTTAAGTATCAGCTCAAGATTTGTAGCCCTAGAAAGGCTGACCCCAAAATTCCACTTTGCTTCTTAATGAGGAAACACAGGGGTCAAGCTTGGATTACCACTTCTTGCCCATGAGCTCAACACACTCCCCATAATATACTCTAAAGTTGGCTTTGCATTGGATAATTATATATGAGGGAGGAAAATCCTGGAGACAGGTTTTGTAGTACTCCATAGTAAGAGACGATAGAAACACTTCCTCGTGGCAATGTGGACACTGTGTACCTACATAAAACCTCTACTTAGTTCATATGGAGCTCAAAGGCTACATGAAATAGAGTTTGACTATTTTGGGTCAGAGAGAAACATCTAAATATATGACTTAAGATTTGTGACTGTCACCATTGTCAGGTCATTAATGAAGGTAACAATGTCTTTGATGCTGCTCTGACAGAGGAGCTATGCAAAGTCGGATTACACTCATAGATTCCACAAAACTGGCATAGATTAGTTGATAAAGCCAAGAAAAAAATCCACCATTAATCTTCTCTTAAAATACTGCTGAATCTGCCAGCCCGTCCTCAGTTCTTGGAACAGCGTTTAGTCTAGAGGAAACCCTGAGCCTGGGATTGTCTTGTTTTTGAAATTGAGGTTGATATGGACCAGTGCTATGATAATCCTGTGTATTCCATTATCTATAAAATCTTTAAAAAGTAAGACACATAAGACCTTTTGCTGAACTGAAATTGTAATAAACTGTCAAAATCTTGAAGGAGCTATACCAGTTCTGTTAACAAAAAAGCCTTGAGCCGGAGAAAAATCCCCAATTCTACCCGTCACTAAAACTCTACCTCCCTGAGATAAGGCAGATCAAAAAGTTGGGATGATAATTCTGGGCTTGAATTAAAAGAAATTGCACTTACATATCATTGGATATTAGGCTTTAATTCCTTTGAATTTCCACTTAAGAATTGTTGGATATGTTTTGAATTTTAACTTAAGACAACAAATTCAGTTCCTGAACTTCAAATTTCTTAGGAAGTTAATGATATGAATTTTTTGCTGCAATCTGGGAAAGTTTTGTTTTATTATTTGAAAAATACCTTAAGGTTATCATGTAGTGTCATTATAGAACCATGTATAAATTTTATCTGACAAGGTACAGAGATACAATTTGAGATGAGTGTGGAACATGTGATGTTGGGAATTACTTACTTAAAGAAGTGTTATAAGCCATTTTGAGGCTTTCAGGTAAATCTTTACTTCCCATGAGTGGTCCCAGGATTGCTACCAAGGGAGTATAATTGACATGGTGCTGGAAGCACATGAAAATGACAGCAGAACTGTCCTGATGGATCACTGAACTCTGCTTTGAAGGGGATCACACCTTCAGTACTCCATAGTAAGAAGTAGTAACACTTCTTCATGGCAATGTGCATACTGTGTTCCTATGTAAAACCTCTACTGGTTACATCCAGTGGTGTAAAACAAGGAGACTGGTAATATTGGGGAAGAAAAGGGAATGAGTGCTCCCCATTTTTGATCTTTATTTCTACAAGCATAACCTTTCAAACACTCTCTCCTCCTCAGCAAATATTTCTGAGACAATTTTATCTAAAGAACTATCTTACTTTTCATGATCCATGTTCAATACAGTTCTATTATTTAAAACTATTTGAACTCTTCAAGGCATTCGATATTACTAAAACAGTTGCATTCAACTGTATTTGCTATATAAATAGGAATAAACTTGACATGAAGCAAACTGCCAGATATTTTTAGTTATGAGATACGATGGGTTAATATTTAGATTGAATTTTAATAGAAAATATAAGTAATGTGTCTTTTTTATTTCATACAAAGTTAATTATAGCTACTGTTGTTACTTTAGGAATTTGGGGTGTTGATGATAAAGAAAAATGATTATTTAAATTTCAGGTACCTTTCTTTACTAATCTCAAAAAGTAAAAAGTAATTTTCTAAAATCACATGAAGTTCTGGGTAATGACAAGTAGTTTCCTTGTTCAGATCCTTCGTTGCTATGATGCAAATACTTCCTTCTTTTCAATATCTTTCTGTTTTTGGAATATAGATAGATGTAAAGAGTCTGTTTGGGTGTATTTATGTGAATATTTTTAAAATATCATCAGATTCTCTTGGACACAGGGCTGATTTTCCTTTCCTTTCATGGGATTTAAAATCAGTTTTTCTCAGCAGCTTTGGATTCTTCTTTTCCTACATTATATATAGTTCCTATTTATAGTCCATTCCCACTATATAACATAATCAAAGTCAACTGCGAGGAAAGTAGTTATAATTGATTGTAATTTGGAGCTGACCATAACATTTCCTTGGTATTTTTTTATGAATCTAGATTTCCTTCCTCTTTCCCTCCCTCCCTTCCTTCCTTTGTTTGAGACAGCATCTCACTATGTAGCCCAAACTTGAGATCCTCCTGCCTCAGCCTCCCAAGTGCTAAGATTACAGGTGGAACCACCATGCCCAGCTGAATCTAAAATTATCAAGAAGAAGGTAGAATCAGATTGATTTTAATCTTGTAGCCCAAACTCATTACTATTGACACATTTGTTTAAGGTTTAAGGTTTGATAATGTGGTATTTTATCTTTGGTCAATTTCTTTACTTACTATTTATTAAGTTAAAATTCTCAAATGAACTTCTCCAATATGCCACAACATTGTGACTTATTCCTGTCTATTCCAGCCCTTCTTAGCCTTGCCTGGATTATTGAGACTCTTCATTGTCTTCCTCTATAGTCTTTCCTGCCACCACTAAACATTGGGTCCATCTTTCTAAAACTGAAAGTTGCTTATGTCACTCTCTGCTTAGAATTAGTAAGTATCTCACTGCCAGGTGGCTAATGCCCAAGTTAGCTCAGATGGCAACAACAGCAGATTAAAGTGCCTCATCAT